CCCCGGCCACATCCTCCACGTAGTCCTATCTCTAAAAGTCCACAAATACGTGTATGTGTATGAGCACATATCCATTTGCATTCCATGGTCATGAATCAGCAGGCGGTTGATGCCTAATCTTATTTACCCTTGGAGCCCGAATGTAAATTTTGCAATTTGAGCACGATAACAAGGTTGATTGCGGCCGATGGCTTAATTCCCATTACACAGAAATGGCAAAAAATGTCCAAGTAAAAAGTGAAATGTTAACAGCAATGCCGAGAATGCAAAATGCAATCTTCAATCTGAATTCTGCGTGCAAATGCAGTTTTCATGTAGAACAGAACCTCACCGGATCATCTGTACAAGCATTTCCATCAAAGAAATCCTCATGCTAATGCCGGGCATTTCAAGACCAGAATTTGGTTTCATTCGGCACCTCTAATAGAGAATGTTCCCCAAATCATAGAATCCCCACGATGTCGGTTCCTGTTCCGTTTCCCCATTGGGCCACAAAGCTAGATTAACTAGAACTAGTCAAAACTACTCAAAAGTAGCACCTAAACCACAAGAAACATCAGAAAGTTCTGATGTTAAAACGACTCTGCGAGTAACGGGTGTAAAAAGTTGTAATTTCTGAGACATTCAGAATATTTAGATTTATATATACAAGATATATATACAGATATTTTTTGGGTAATAAACATTTCATCAACTTGATTTATTCTTGAAAAAGGGTATATTGGAATCCGTGTGAGCCCTGAGAAATGGAAAACTATAAAAGCTAGAAATTTGGGACTTAACATGCAGATTTTTCGGATTCCTGCGCAGTGTAAGTTTGGTTCATCGGAGTGCCACTCTAATTTTTGTGTTCGGATTATCAATACCTATCTGGATGTTAAAAATTGTTTTAATAGGACCGTTCATTAAAAAGTAATAGGCAAATAAAGTGTGTTATATCGGAAACAGCCGATTTGATGCATGCATAGCTCCATCTCCCTCACACAAGCTGAGTAACGGGTAACGAGTAAAAGTTGAGGCCATCGACTATAGCGTTCTTTCTTGTTTTTGTATTAGGGTTATTAAAAGCACCATTACGTTTCCATTACGAAAATATTTTAGATTTCCTTACCTTCTCCCATTTTACATTTATTTTTTCTAATGCTAAAAAATGTTCGATATAATCAACAATATCAATGATAACCACTATCGATAGCCAAAACCAACAATCTATATTTTTCCACCACTATTTGGTATGGCAAAACGCAAAGCCCACCAAAATAAGCAACCACATTTAAATTAAGAAATACCAATTAAAGTTGATTAGAAAATATTAGAAACGACAAGCCACCAATAAAAGTGCCATAAAAATATATCACAGGCATCAGCAACTTGACTATTAAGAGCCATGGCAAAAATTGAAATGACAGCAATTCCAGCAGCATGTCAGCAAAACTTTGCCAAAAAAAAGGTTGAGCTTTTCTTGCGAAATAAATGGCAAGGCAACTGAATCCAAATGCAGAAAAGGCCATAAAAATAAAAGCGAAATTGTTGGAAATACCTGCAGCGAGATTGCAATACGCAAGAAAATCAACTTGGGAAGCAACATCAGTGGCACACACAAAACGGACATGTTTATTAGTAATTCTGGAAATTAAATCAGCAACACAATCAGCAATTGGTCGAAAGCAAAGCGACTTTATAAGCAATTTGTTCGGAACAATAAGCCAAACACAAGTAACATGAAAAACAATATAAAATGCATTTTAAATGTTGCAATCAGAAACGAAAAAATGAAATATAAATACATAGCCCGGAATGCTTTTTTAGATTAAATGCAAATGCTGAAAAAATATTACCTAAAAGCTGCAATAAAACCAACATGCAAATGAGACTTAAATTGCTTCAAAAATAGCGTCTTTAATTTTTAATAGCATACACAAGGCCCAAAAACTGTTTATTGTAATCGCAAATTAAAAACATTGGCACATAAATGCATTGAATTAGATAATAAACAGATAAATTTATGAATAATGGGGCAAACAAATTACACTGAGCAAAAAGCGTAATTCTTTGTGATTAAAATTGATAAGTGCGTTTTTATTTGCTTCGCGAAACATCCAAAATTAATTTTTTACGACAGTTAGTTTTAAGCCATCCTTGATTTAAAAACTTATATTCTTTATTTAAGAAGTTTCAAGAGTTATTTCCTGGTTTCGAGGTATACTTATTTCGAATCAGTTGGTAAGTACAAAACATACTTCATTCAAAATAAAAGTTTTGTATAACTATAAGAATTTTGACATTGAAGCAAGCGTGCCTTAAGATATTTATATTTAAGAATAATTTCTTCTTGATTCAAGCACGCACCGTACATTTTTCTTAAAGCAAGAAGAAGAAAAATATCTGAAACTAAAAGCCAATCGAGCTTAAGTTAAGCTATTAAACAACAAATATGAAAAAGAAACTTAAAGTAATTTCAATTCTTAAATAGAATAGGAAAATCAAAAAATGATTTTTATCAAACAGAATTCTTGAAATTCAGTTACAAAAATATTGCCAAGTATAAGTAAATAAAATCAGCTTTGTAGCAAACTGCAAAAATCGGCAATATAACAAGCGACCACTTTAAAAAAGCCACTCAGTGGCATTGTCTTCCATTTGCTGCAATTATTATTTAATTTTTCGCTTGCAGGTTGGCTTCCCGTGCGTTTTTCTTTGTGGCCAAGGGTAAATACCTCGTTTTTCTGCCCTTGATGTTGTCGTCAAAGGAATGCACTTTCGCCCAACCCCCCAATCCCGGCCAGAAATTGCATCCAATGCGATGCAGCCACCTTCGATACATTCGAGGATTCCGGTTCGTTGAAGTTGAAGTCTCGTGGCCCCGATAGTTGGCATAAATATTTAATTTTCATTTTGCCAACTCGGCCCGAGGAAACTCACCCACTCAACTGGCAATCTCTTTATTTCCCGGGCTAATTGAGGGATTATACGGAGAAGGCGAGGTAAATATGAAATTTGAATCTCAATCACTCGACGAACCGACAGTCGAAAGTCTGCAGCTGCAGCAATTCCACAGAAAACGAGATCAGGACTTATTTCAATTTCAAATTAGTTTTCCTCCTTGCGGAAAGTGTTTCGCCTGCCATTTTGCCAGTTTGGCCGCAATATTGATTTAAATACAAAATGCCAAGGCATGTTTATACACATATTTTTGTTTTGTTTTAATTACTGCAAGTTCGGTGGACTTTTTCGGGGAGAGTTCGGGGTTGGGTGTACCAGCAGGCATTTGACCGGCAGTTGTGTTTGCTTTAATTATAAATAATATTTAATCTAGATATTTCACATTCGAATGACCGTCCAGAATGGATGTAAGCCTTATTATTATTATTACTAGTGTTTATTATTATTATTGCCATTTTTGTGCTGCTGCTGCTGTTGCTGGTGCTGCTGCTGCGGCTTAAGTGCATAAATAAACAGATTTTAATTTAATTATTATGAAATGCATTTGCCCCTGGCCAGGTTCCATTATTAACGGCCTTCGATCCGGCATCCAATGATGATGATGATCATGATGATGGCGATGAGGAGGAGGAGGAGCTGCCCTCCACGGGCATGTGGTCCATAAATCTGGTGCGTCGTGTAAAATGCAAAATATTGCTGGCCAAAAACTAGCACACACACGTTCTGACCTTATTAGCTGCAGTTGACCAAATCGAATTAGACCCCTGGGTAAAAGCGTTTGGCAAACAAATTTTCGATACGTGTACACCGTGCATCGCAATTGTACGGTTGATCCTAGTTAATGCCTCCCAGGGGCTGCCTGGGGTAAAAATAACCGGGGGTGGTCAATAAACAAAAAGGTGGGGATCGGAACATTTAAAAATATGCAGATATAATTCATGATATTAATACTAGACTAATAAATATATTTCAACAATTGTTGCATGTTAAAAGGTATTAAACAAAGGTTTTAATTATAAACATTTCCTTTTGGCAAATAAACTACATTAAGGTGATCCAATAATAAATTATAGTATGATCTTTTACACCCAGAAAAATGCAGAACAAATAGTTTGAGAACGAAAGATCTTGAAAATGTACCGAATCGTTCTGGAAGTTTTTGAAATAAACGTCCTTAAATTAAGAAGCATTCTTACCTAAACCTAATATGCAATCAGAAAAAAGTTTCCAGGGTGGTTCAGGTGTTAAAGGTCCTGAGTTCGAATCCTCGCCAAGACATTTTCTGACTTTATTCTCATTTAACAGTTTTTTCAAAACCTTGAAATCTTAAATACTCTTAAACACATTTTATGGCTTTTATTATAAATGATAAATTTTTAGTTGTTAATATTCTAGTTTTATTATTTAATAAGAGATTAGCTAAATATTTTAAAGATTTTTTAAGACATAAGATATTTTTTTAATTAATAAGTTTTTTATGATCAATCTAATGATTTGCATAATTTTGTACTTACCAACCACCAACAAAATATAGGTTAAAGAAAAAATGATATAATTTTTTTGAAAAAATTTTTAAAGCTTAGGGCTAGTTGCTTATTACTAGTTAATTATAACCAATCGAAAATAATAAATCCAATAAAAGACATGGCTATTTGCAAGCCCATACAACCAATGTTAATCACCCAATAACTCAATAACTAACCGCAATCATACTGCATGTTCGCTAAAAAATAAAGAATGCTTCATTTCGGTAATTGGCCACACACAAAACCCCAATGAACTCGACGATTTTAATGAAAATGTAAAAGCCATTGAATATCCATTAGCCTAACAAATCAGGCACACACACACATACACACATTATGTTCTATCACCCATCTGCAGACTTACATACACCTATTTTCCTTTCGCCTTGGGTGCTAAGTGTTTCATGTTTCCCTCTCGTATTACAGTAAAAATACTAATAAGCCCCAAAAGGCTTTTTCACCGAAAAGTTCCAAAGATCGGACGTTAATGCTTCCCCAATATGTGATTAACTAGCGAACGGATTATCTTACCTTTTGCAAAACGAAATATGACACTTGTGAGTGAATTTTAGGCCTAAAGCGGTTTGGTTTCTGCTATTATCTGTGTTGTGGCGGCCCCTTTCAATATTCACCGGCCATGGCCATTCATCAATGGTGACCGAAAACCGACATAGCACACACTATTTAGCACTCATACACATTTTTCACTAGGGTCTTGCCTTGGTTATTTCATTCCGATTTCATACCGTACGTAAATCGAACCCAAAACAAACAAGAAAAACAGCAAAAAAAAATGCATGGATTGGTAACACAAAAACCGGTGGCCAAAATGAAGAAGAACGCGCGAAGAAGTCGACTCACAACAAAACAGGAGGAGGAAGACGTATACGTACGACGACGACGATGGTTTACGAGATACTGCCGCACCGCGATTTCCCTTCTGTGGGTCAAATAACACGCATACGCACCGTGGAGCGCACCAAAATACGCATACGCACCGTTGGACCGCTGCTCGCTGACTGACGCCGTCGACGATGCGAGGCCCTGCAGATACCGACGTTAACTGCACTCGCCGATATTCTGGCCAGGCGAATGAATCCGTACGCACAGCCCCCCGGTACCCAGTTTTTTTCCCAATCCACCCCCCCCCACCCAAAATTTCCGAGTTCGTAGCACCGAGTTTATGTTGTGTTTTCCCCACGATTCACATTTCCCGACCCACGACAACGCACGAAGTTGGTAGTTAAGCCTCGGCCTCTTCGGTTTTCCAACCCGAACTTATCGATGATACGGCTCTGCGCATGTCACTTGGCCAAGACACTACTCAGCCAGGGCCAACTGACTCTGGCTAAGCCACAAAATTGGCGCGCAATTTCAATTAGTTGATGTTCCTCGCACATCCATCCATCTCCGCGTTTCCTTGACTGCCCCCGCCCCTTCGGCCATCCCACCCCAAAATCTTAGCCGGCTTTCCCGGCTTTTCCGGCCAGACGTCTGTTGCTCTCACCGCCCCGAAAGTTCAGGGCTCTGGCCAAATTCCCGACCCTGTTTATCGGCGCTTATTCGGTTTAATTTGGCATTTCAAGTGGACACGTCCAGGCACTCAATGATGAAATCTGATCACAAGTTGCCGCCAAAACGACCGAGGAAGCTATTTCCCGGCTAGAGATCTGCTTAAATAGGGCACACAAATAGTGCACCGATAGAACGATAAAACTGAACTACACAGCTTTGTTTTGGTTTCCATTTCCTAGATATTCACTCTATTTTATGGGTTGGATACAATAACATTAGGTGTAAAAAAAACGATAATTCTTAACTACATGCTTCATATTGGTTTCAATTTCAAAGGTATATATTAACTCTATTTTATGGGTTGAATATTATAACTGATGTATTATATTACCACATAATCGTAGCACAAGGTTATAAGTTGATAGTTATAATTTAATTAAGAGTTCAGGTTAATTTTATCATCCGCATGGTAAACTAAAAGTAAGGTTTTAACCAAAAAATCATATGGAAATGTCGAGTTGTAAACCTACTTTTGGTTTACGTATTATGCAGAGGAATGGGAAAAACACTCTTTAATCCAGAGGAAATGTTAGGTCTTTTGCTCTTAAAAAAAACATAAATAAAATTGACTAACTTTAAAAATGATCATTCTAATTTTTTTTTATATTTGGACTTTTAGGAATTTTATGAAGAACTAATTTTAAAATTTATTGCAAATTTAGTTTTTAACTTTAAGCCCTCGTAAATATAATATTCGATGGAATAGATAATAATTTGAAAATGTTTTTTAAGTTCTATGTTTGTTTTATATTTGTCTAAGTATATCTTATCTTATAAAAATAAAATATGTGTTGGTAAAAATGGAAAACATTCGTTTTATTTACTAAATAAAAACTAAAGTATACCACTAAATATCACATATTTTAGTCAATAAATTCACCAAGTGAACTGTAAGATAATACTTTAAGTATTTAAAAATTCTCATATTTCGTGTATTACATGTCATTTTAAAACTTACTGGCGAAAATATTTAAAATACATAAAAACTTTCAACTTATTTGTATTACATGGCATTTTCTAAGTTATTTGTTTCCCAAACGCATTTTTCCCCAGTGTCCACTGGGAAGTGTTTTTGAGCATGTGTCGTGGAGGCATCTTGGGTGCCTATCCGACCATCCGAGGCAGCTCTTTTTTGGTTAATGAAAAGTTGCCACTGATGGCGGCCAAAGAAAATGCAGAAAAGCCGGATGGTGTGGAAAGTGGAGAGTGTAGAGAGTGCTGGGGAGTGGGAAAAGCAGCCGGCTGAAGGAGCTGGCCCAGCTGACAAAGCCCTGGCTAAAACAAAGGACCCCACAATGGCTGACAATGGCAACTTGTCGGGGTTTCGTGGGTTCGCAGGGGGTTCGGTAGTGGTATGCTTCGGTTTTCATAGGTGGAGGGGATGCTCAGAGGGGTTTCCGGGGAGCCTGTGAGCTAGCTGCAAAAAAAAAGACCAACTCTCACAATAGATGCCACCCCCGGCAGTCCCCGATTTTATACCCCACATGGCGTGAAATGTGGCATTCAAATAAAGGAACACTCTAATAAGGCTTCCTTTTGTTATCGATAGAAAAAATCCAGCACTCGTGGAGGAAGTGCAGCAAAAATGGGGGGCGAATCTGGCTGGGCGAATCTGTCGCATCTGCCGAGTGTGAACCACTAGTAGTAGTGGTGGTGCCGCAAAAATGGCAACAAAAAAACTGAAAAGTAATTTCCGGTTGCGCGTGACGAAATCAGCGGAGAACATCGACAAAGGGGTTAATAAAAAAGTAGGAAAAAGTTGGAAAAAAAAGTGCTGGGCGGAAGACACAGTAACTGGTTAATATCTAGCTGCAGCAATTTGACGACGAGCCAAGAGTGCAACAAAAGCTGCCAACGATGCAAGTACAGTCGAAACAAAAGGCCTGCGAATTAAATGTACAGTCTGCACAAAGGGAATCATTATGGTGATTAAATTACGATGAGATGGAAAATCTGCATTTCAAACCAAAGACAAGAAAGGCTAATGATAGTAAGGGTCTTTTATATTTAAAGATACCATTTAATAGCACCAAAAGTATGTACCACTCCATATAGGGCTTATCTGCCAGAATTTCATTTTAAAAACTTAAGCTACTTGTGGATCCCCAATTTACGTGAGAAAATAGATAGATAGAAGATAGAAAGATAGATACAATTTGAATCCAATACCTATATTAATAATACAAATAATATACCAAATACTACCTAAAATAAAAATACTAATACCAAATGCAAAATACTAAACACCAATACTAAACCTGCCAATCTTAAGTAAACGTTCAATACCATCCTGTTGCATTATCCGACTTTTGAGCCCAAAAAGAAGCTGATTAGCATGGCGGCTGTCACTCAGGCTCTAATTGCAGCTCAATGCCGTATCCAGTCGGGATGCGAATGCAGGATGCAGGATGTTGGATGCAGGATGCGGAATACGGAATACCGAATGCGGAATCCGAAATTCAAAACCGTGCAGCGTCGAGCAGGCAAACACACAAGTCGCCTGACAATATTCCCCAAACAACAATGGCTGGCGGTGGCAAATGCCAAATGCCAAACGCCAGCTCAACCCCGATACCTGGAGAATTTTGGGGGGATCCCCAGCTCGAAAAAGGTGTTCGGCGTGTGTGTGCGTGTTCTGCGAATACTCATAATGCGCTGCTAATGCTAATAAGCATTTATGTGTCTGTGCCGCAGGCTCCGTCTGCAGCAAGGACCCAGCCAGCCCCTGTCATCTGTCCATTGTCCCTGCCTATTCCGGCGAATAAATACAACTAAATTGGAAAATTCTTAGAAAATTATTCAATTACAAATAAAATATTTTAAAAAAAGTCAAAAATCACTTTTTTAACAGCTGTATGATGACCAAGATTAATTTAAATATTCCAAACAACATTGAAACATTTATTATATTAAATCATTTTCTTTTTTTTTAATACCAATCTTTGAAAAACATGTTTTTTTAATTATCTAAAATCTTGCAATTCTCCTTATATTATATGGTATTTGTATAAACAACATTTTTTTAATCTTTATTTCAAATTTCATACAAATGAACATATTAAATTCTATATTACAGCTATATATTAATATAATATTATAATATATATTATTATTATATTATTATTATATATATATCAAAGCAAATCTATTTAGTTTCAACCTTATACGCATTTCGAATATCTAACATGCATTAAATACCCCAATACCTTTTGATTCCCTCTGTTCGCTGTGCCCAACAAGGCGTTATTATCCCTGAGAAACTTCATTTCGTGATTTCTGAAGCCCCTTGGAGCGAAACTGCTTGTGGGAATATCCCTTTGGGTGATTCATAATCTCCTTCGTCGAGACAGAAGTCGTCGGTGACTATGACTTCGGAGCAGTACGACTGCTACTACGTTTCAGACTATGACTATGACTACGGCGGAGGCTGCGTACGAGGTTCGCCTTAAATACGCTTCAAAATTACATTTTATTAACGCACGCACAGGCGGGAAAACACAGGCACGCAATGGATGTGCCATTGGCGAACCACAGTTGTGACCACAAAAATAGCACTTAGTTTGGGTAAAAGGTTATCTGTATTATGAAGGGGTTGATAACTGCAAAGAAAATGTTTTTTTATTTTGTAAGATTGTACAGCTTAAAAAAATAAAAGAAAACGAAAAACAAAACCAAATTGCCTGAAACAAGTAAATGATCAATTTCAATGTAGGTTTTAAAAAAAAATTTCAAATTTCGAATATTTTCGGTTTCTGGTTCAATATACTTATATATAATAATAAAAACACGTTTCGAAACTCCAAGATATCTTTAAAATTTAATTTCCTATAGTAATTTTTTTAAACTCATAATGATTTAAGACACTTTTTTTTTAAATTTTTATTAATAAGGCTGTAAGAAAGATAAAACATTAAAAATGTTTACATAGATTCAAGAGTAAAGTAAAGTATCTCCATACTTTATAAACATTAGACATATATATATATATATGTTTTCCAGCTTTCTTATCTATTTTTGTGACCACTCCTGTTGATTCAGAGATAGGTACAGATACAGATACTCGCAGATACTTCGGTTGCAGACGGTCCCTAAGTCGGCAACACTTTCACTGTCTGCTGCCGCCACGCCCCCACTGGACCCGTTTATGATTGCCCCTTTTGCAGTGGTGGAGGGGGGTTTTGGGGGGATTGGGGATCTTTTAATCCAACCTACCCGACCCAGAATTCAACTAAACATTTATTTTAGCTTGTTACTTCTCCTTCTTTTGCAGCGCCACTTTATTGCGATTTAAATTCTCATTATCCTGCGAGTGAAGGATGAACTGGAGCAGTGTGCGAGGGGGAGGGCCGCATTGGGCGGATGTGCGGGGGAGCGAGACGGCGCTATCGTAATCATAACATATCTAATGTGTGCGTGAGTGTGCCTCTGTGTGTGTGTTCTCTGCCTGTGTGTGTGTGTGGGAGAGAC